GCGCTGCGCCGCCGGTGCTCTGACGTGCCCCTCGGAGGCCTCCGGCCCTCCCAGTCCCCGCCTTGCTTAACACTGGTACGTCACGCCCGTGCTGGCGTTGAAGTTTGCAGTAGGTGTGTAAAATCAAGCGTACTCTTGGTCTGGTCTGAGAAATGAGCCCTGGCTTTTCCTAAAACACAGAGATCCCGTGAAATTTAAATTCTGACCAGTTTTGTCCCTCTTCACTTACGGTTGAGTTGCAGCAAATACCTTTCTCTTTAATGGTCTTGTGTTTGTATGGATTGGTAGGAAAAATGTCCTTTAAACATACTGATGAAGTTTCCCTTTTCCAGCTGCTCCAGTATTGCCAAAGCTTAGGAAACAGCACTGCTCGTTCTGTGCCACCTCTTTGTTGTTGTCTTTTATGAGTTGCAATCAGTAAGTTCACTGAGCTGCGTTGAGTTGATTTTTCTGGGCTTTTGTCACCTTAGCAACAGCTAATAGTAAGAGTTTATCTGACTTTTTGTGGTGGAGTGGTTCTTTTGTAAGCTTCTCGTTGCACGTGCAGGTGCTTCTGTACTATAGAGGACTAAAATAAAAGGAAACCTCTTGAGACTTTTATGGAATAAACAGTTTTATAAAGTACTATAATTTTATTGAGAGATGCATTATTCATATATGATTAATCATACTTTGTATTACAGACTTGATTTACCAGCACTGCCTAATTTTTTTTTTTAATTATTATTCTTTTAATGAATGCTTTCCAAAGCAGCCAGTTTGCCTGTTGCATTTCTGGCTAGAGGAGTTAGATACCCTCTCCACAGAAGTGTTTGTGCTGCCTAAAAGAAAGTGGTTGGTAATATAGGTTGGCCTGTACTGTATACAACTCTACTTTTGGCTAGACTTTTGAAATTGACCTGAGGTGATTTCTCAATAGGCTTTTTACATATTTATCTTATAATTTGACTGTTGTAGATGTTGCAAAAATTTAAGATTCTTTTGTATAAAATGTTTTATACAATGTTGTGTACTTTTCTGTGTAATTTCTGTATCAAGTTACTCTTAATTTGTAGTGCACACAGTTCAGTTTTTCTTAATTGGTAAGGTGTGGTTTGTACAGCATGTACACAAAGTGAAATGAAATAGCAACACTGCCTAATAGTTTTGTAGTGGTCTGTATTTATCAATTCATACTGTATTTTATCAATACTTATTTTTTAGAGATTTTGAGGCACTATGACTAGAATTGGACTTAAGGTATCAGTAAGCTAGTCATGTCAAATAGGTTTATATCTTTTTTTTTACCCCCTTAAGACCTTAGAGGTCTTTGGAAAAAGTGCATACCTGATTGTATGGGAAAAAACCCTGACATTAGAATGAAGTTTAAAAGTGGATGTTTGAAGGGAGGCAGTGAAAACATGCTGTGTGCTCCAATTTTGTAATTCCTAAACATAGGTAAAATAAGCACAGAGATCAGTACTTACAAGCTAATTTTCCATGATTTATGCTGGTATAGCTGGACCACTTTCCCTTCATTTTCCTTCCAAAATGGTTGCCTGAAACATCTTTTTTTTCCTTCCCTGTTAGGATGGCAAGCTTCAGTGAAAAGTGGGAGTCTGTCTTATATTATACCATGCAATCGTCTGCCTGTGCAGTTGATGAGTCAAGTGAGAGTTTATACCTCCAGTGGTCAGAAAAAAGGTCTTGGGTCAGCAGATAAAAATGGATCAGCCCCTGAAGAAACCCTGCGCAAAGTTGGAACAGGTAGTAATAAGCTAAAATAAAGAGTATTTATATAAATGCAAAAACTTTATGTATTTAACAATTGAGAGCTTTTTTTTTTCAGCTGTGTGATATTGCAGAATTATTAGCATTTGTTGCTTGTGGACATCTATTTATAAATTTCAAATGCGTAAGCAGGGAGGAATGCTGAAATTTATTTCTTTGTCATTCCAGTATTTAAAGGATTTAGATTTAATCACTTTTGAAGTGGTGATGATAAAATGTGGATGTCAGAAGGGATAAGAAATGAAATGTATTACTTTTTCTACTTCGATTGCTTACTTGAATTCTTTTTGTAGTGTTTCAGGTTGGTTGTGTGAAATAAACTAGTGATAAAGATTGAATGAGTGTGAATACTGAGCACTGTGACTTCTCCAGGTCAAGCTATAGATGACTGATAAAGAAAGTTGAGCTGTTTCTTCTGCTAGAGCTTTCTAATCTGACAGTTGTCAGAACTGCAGCGCTCACATTAAACACTTGATATAATGGACTTAACCTGAGCCTCCTTGCTGTTCAATTTGATTGTCAATCCTGTGCTAGTTAGGTGCTTGTGAAATTCAGAATCGTCTTGTCCTTGCTCCATCATAGCATCCTCTATTTTTTTCTGCTTAGTAAGGGCAGGACTGCACAGATGTATGTTTGGAAGACTACTGTGCTTAAGAGATAAGAAATGCATTTTAAAATGAATGCTCTCCTTCTCTGTGCTTTTGTCTAAAATTAAGTAGTTTTCTAAAGAAAATTTTCTTCTCTTCTTGTTAAGTTAGCAGCTATTATTCTTTCTTTAGTAACGTGTAAATTCCTGGGGCTTGCAGTAGTCTTTAAAAGCTAGTAACTATGGCCAGCTGAGAGCATTACTTTTCTGATGTTTGGAAGTACAAAAGTGGATCTTAAATGTTGTTCTAAGTGTAATAATTAGATATTGTTTCTTGTTCTAATTGTAGTAATTAGATATTGCTTAAGTCTGTCATTGGATTTTAGAAGAGAATAATGGTTAAGACTCTTTATATTTCTTGGAACATCTTGAGCTTGGAACATCATGTTTGCTAGAGGGTGATATTTTTGCAGAAGAATGTCTGCCTGAATACAGCAGAAGACTGTAGAGCCAGTTGTAGTTGTTGTTTTCTGGGTTCTTAATGTGCAGTTATGGATGTTAAAAATCAGACGTGTAAATAGTCCAGCACTATTGCTTTCATGATTGAGTGAAGTTTTTGTAATTATTGTCATCAGAAGGGGTGTTCCAACCTTCCCCCACCCTTGTCTGATTACTCCTTCTCTTGTTCTGACATTAGTGATGTTTAGGCCTGTTTTGTGAAAAATGAGTTGCTTTCTTGTTTTGCAGAGCTAGGGTTCAGATGGCTCAGTAAGCTGGTCCTGCTCACTGTCTCTAAAATGGCCGGAGGAGAGTCTCTGCCCTTAGTGGCAGCGCGACCTTGAGTCATAGTAAGGCTTCAGTGGGACTGCACCGCATGGGCATCATGAGGCTTACCTTTTTTTGAGAGTTGGAGCTGATGTATGCAAGTGTATATGAAACTGCAGGCTAGAGATACTGTGCACAGATGAACAATTGCTTTGAAGTTTATTTTGGAATGCGTGTTATATGCCTAGTGGGTAGAACATTCTTATGCATTATGGACACAGTACTACTACTGTTTATTTAAAAAAGCACATTTTGATAGAATTCTGAAAAGGTAATATGCTACTTGTAAAGATTCCCATACTTCTCCAGTAACTTATATATTTAGCGAATAATGCATCTCTTTTGGACCTCCATTTCTTTATCAGTAAACTTGGGAAATGCTTTTCCTTTTAATGTGATATTTAAAATAGTAATGTATTAATCTTGAAACTTCTCTCGTATCAACCTCTGCTTGTCTGAAAAACAGCAGTTGTGAATTGGAAGTAGTCAGTATTTTTTTTCTTCTCACTGATGCACTGTAATTTTTGTTCAGTCTTTCGGCCAGGATGGTGAACTTTAAAAGGGTACCTGATGTGGTCTCTGTGCATAGATATACATTTTCATATTTTCATGCATTTTTTTCACCTCTGAAATCTTATGACCCAATCTTTTGATAAATAGTTTTGGTGATATTTCTTTTAATGAATAAATGGTTGCACACAGAGCTTCTGAAAAGAAGCTACTAGTCAGTTTTCGCTGAGCAATCTTAGCTGAAGTTTTTTATCATGAATATTGGTAGATTGGTTGCCTGATGTTTTAAACCAGGTAAGAAAAGAAAGGAAAGGAACAGCAAAGGGTTTGTTGCTTTTGTTTTCAAGTCAAACACTAACTGATAGAAGTGACTGTTTTAGGAATGCAAGTTATTTATGGTCCAGCCTTATTTGTTGTGTAATAAGATCAGTTTTGTAAATTTGTAAGTGTTATTTTTCCAAGAAAGTATACTTGGATTGTTATAAGCCTTAGTGCTCAGTTGCTGTTAGGGCAATAACTAATTGCCTGATGAAAAGATAGTTATGTAGTCCAAGCTTTAAGAATATCTGACCTTTGAGTAAACTGTGTAGCATGTTAAGCTAGGAGTATCTAATTAATTAACACAAACCTGCTTGAAAAATCTTCCTTTATTTTTAGATATCACTTTCAATAAGGTCAGTTTTAATTTTGTGAGTGACTGTGGATGTGTGGCAGACCTCCAATGTTAGACAGTGTTAGGGCACAAAAGAGTAGGTATGTTTTTTTTAGGTATTAGAATTGTAAGTTTTTTGTTCTGAAAGCTATGTTGAGATGTATGAGATAAGGATGCAATATTTGCTTGTATTTTCTAGTAGTACTTCTGATTTCTAAGTAGAAATCTCGCTGACATTACTGGAAGTTATTATTTTCCAAATATTAAGATTCACTGAATAGTACTGTAAATTATATTTTGTTGGCTTTTTATTGAGTCATGCTCAAATTTCAAAACCAGCTAAAATTGTTCTACCTCCAGCTTGTGACACAGGAGTTGTAGATCTTAGTTTAAATATTTTGTATTTTACAGAGCTAGGTTTTTTGTATGTGAAAAAGCTTCAGTCCCTTAAAATTCAGTTACAGCTTGAAAGCTCTTTGAGACTCGAGTAATCAGCAGTCATAAGTTCTTTAGAATTCATTATATTTACTAATCTAAAATTTTGCGTAAAATCGCCCCAAAGTATAAGTACAGTGGTAATTTTTTTTTTTTTTTAAATTCAGGATACTTTCTCAAGTATGTTGCAAGTTCATACTCTTTTGCAAGCTGCTAGGAGTTTATTGATCAATGCTACATTACATGTCTTTTTATTTATTTTTTTTACTATTTCTGTATTTTATTGTGAGAGTTTTATATGTTGAAAATTATAAATTTTTTTTTAATTGTCAGGATGGAAAGCAGCATTAAGGGGTATTCTTATTTGTCATGCTAACCAAATTCTTTACTAAAAAGAAAAGTAGGTACTTCCATATTGACAGTAAGCTTTATTTTTATTTACAGGGCAAGATACCAATAATGAAGGTCAAAAGCAGTCTTTCTTAAAAGAGCCAATCCAAGTCAAAGGTAAAAAAATACTTTCTGTATTGAAACTTACTGCTGTCTGCTAGTAGTCAAAAAAGATATGTGTAAGGAAACTGTGGTTCCTCTTCAATTGTGTACCAAGTTTTATGAATAACATTTTAAAACACTCTTGTATGTCAGCTTTGTTTCATACCCAGTTGTTTGAAAATGACTCCTGAAAAATCAGTTATAGCAGTATTCCATCTGATTACTTTTCTATGCCTGTTTTTAATTGTTTCACTTAAGCAGATGAGTTTGTCAGGAAAAGACTAATTTGTTTTCTCACCTGTTACCATAGTCTGTGCTCCTTGCGTGTTTTTAGACATGTCCATTCACTGCCTTGGACTTAATGTGGCTAAGCTGAATACTTGGTCTTCCCCTGTTCCTTGTTCTAAGTCTTCCTTTGTTCCTTCTTATTGCTGAGTTAATCTAATCAGTGTTGCTTCTAAATATATTTTGACCACATGAACTGCCTAATCTGAGTCCTGTAATGTTCCCATTTGTGCCTGTAATAAATACATGCTGTTGTCTTTAGTTACATTGTTTAAAAACATAAATGGATAAAATAAGAGTGTAACTTTTTCATGTTCTCAATTTATCATGACTTGATTTCACTCTATCTTCGCTCTGATAGTTTATATATGTTATTGTGAGAATTATGCTATTAAAAACTCCTGTGCTTTTGATCACTCCTAGCCTTCTAAGTATGGAGAGAACTTTATCAAAATAGAAATTGCCATTTCTTTTTAAACTCTGTCCAAAACAAAACAAAACAAAATCTCTGGGGTGAAAGTGACTCGGCAGGCTATAAAACTGTATCAAAATTCCTTCCTGTCTTTTCCTAAATTTCAAGAAACATCAAATCATAATACTTGTCAGTAACAGGGTGAGATCAGTGTCTGTCTATGTATGTTTTCCTTTGCTTGTCTACATCCTTTATGTCAATTTCTTTGGGCCTATTGTCACTTGATGTATACATGCAGGGGGAACGCACAAGGTAGACAGGAGAAATTAGACTGTGAAATAATTGTAAAAAAAGATACATCTTTCAGTGAGCAGACAGTTTTGCCTGTTTTGTAGATTATAGATGCGCAAACAAGGATGTTTATGTTAAAGATTTTGATAGCGTCTAGAAAGTGGAATTCTAGTCTTCAGATGCTCCTGTGACTTAGAAACTTACTGATCCAAGTGTTACTAAGACAATCACATTTTTAAACAATCACTAATCTTTAAATAGCACAATTTTAAAAGTGTTTTATTACATCATCTTTAATTGGGCTTTGTCCTTCTCTTGGAAACACCAAATTGACTTTTTTTTTTCCTCATTTATTGCCAATTGTATAGAGTTATTTGAACTAGGGGTAGGATTGTTGAGATATGCAGCAATGTACAGTTGGTTATAGTATTTTCTCCTAGTGAAACTTGCCTGTGTTTCAGAAAGATGGATTACTAGGTGTTTGGTAATCTACAAGTTATTTTTTTCTAAGTTTAATACACTTTGGATATACGTCTGTTTTAAATAAGGAAACATTGGAAGCAGTCTTCTTGTTTAAAAATGTTTTCCCATTCTAGCCTTAGTAAATTATGGACTATTTTTAGGAAGTGTCTAATTTTTTGTCACCTTTGCTCAGGAGCATTGTAGGATGAATGTGATTACTCAGGTAGTTAATACAATTGTTTAAGTTCAAACTAGATGACAGAAAGATTATTATGGTAAATATGGATATCTGTAGTATTAGTGGATTGTTGAGTGTCAAGCAATTGCCTTTAAGCTTTCAAAACTCAGAAATCATAATAGAATTGTAGAATACCTGATTGGAAGGGTCCAACCTTTCTTGGCAAAAGCATGGTCTAAAAAGATGGCCCAGTACCCTGTCCAGCCAAATTTTAAATTACAAGTGTCCAATATTGGGGAATCCACCACTTCCCTGGGGAGATTATTCCAATGGCTGATTGTTCTCATTGTGAAAAATTTTGCTCTTGTGTCCAACTGGGATCTCCCCAGGAGTAACTTTTACCGATTAACCCTTGTCTTTTCCATGTGGTTCCTTGTAAAAAGGGAGTCTCCGTCTTCTTTGTAGCCACCCATTAAATACTGGAACATGGTGATAAGGTCTTCCCTAAGCCTTCTTTTCTCAAGGCTGAACAAAGCCAGTTCTCTCAGCCTTTCTTCATGTGGCAGGCTTCCCTGCATTTTGATCATCTCTGTGGCCCTTCTCTGCACCTTCTCCAGCCTGTCCACATCTTTTTTTGCATAGTGGGGACCAAAGCAGTATTACAGGTGTGGCCTGACAAGTGCTGAGTGCCTTTATTATCTCTGTTGGTGGTGTCCTTGTTGATGCAACCCAACATCTTGTTGACTTTCTTTGCTGCGGCAGAACGCTGTTCACTCCTGTTGAGCTTGTTGTCCACCAGGACCCCCAGGTCCCTTTCCACAGAGCTGCTGCCCAGCTGGGTAGATCCTAGCCTGTGCTGTGCTGGTGGATTGTGTTTTTCCAGGTGCAAGACCTTATATTTGTCTTTCTTGAACTTCATAAGGTTCTTGTTAGCCCACTCTTTGAGCCTATCCAGGTCTTCCTGCAGGGTGGCTCTTCCTTCTGAAGTGTCCACTTCCCCACACAGTTTGGTATTATTGGCAAAGTTCATCAGGGTATGCTTGATCCCATCATCCAGATCATTTATGAAGATACTGAACAGCGTTGGGCCAAATATGGATCTCTGGGAGACCCCACTTGTGACAGGTTGCCAGTTGGAGGAGCTATTTACCACAGGTGTGGTTTCCCACCCACTGTGCAGACAGCTTGTCGGGACCGTAATGCATCAGTTTCTCTAGGAGGAGGCTGTGGGAAACCATATCAAAAGCCTTGGAGAAATCCAGGTAGACCATGTCCACTGCACGCCCCACATCAACCAAGCAGGTTGTTTTGTTGCAGAAGGCAATCAGGCTTGTCAAGCACGATTTGTCCTCAGTGGATCTGTGCTGGCTTTTGCCAATCACGTGTTTCATTTGACTTACAGTAGCCCCCAGGAGGATTCGTTCTGTAACTTTCCAGAGACAGAAGTAAGAGTGATGGGCCTATAATTTCCTGGATCCTCCTTTAAGCCCTTCTTGTAGATGGTGGTGACATTAGCCTTCTTCCAGTCTTCTGGAATGTCCCCTGATCTCTGTGACTTTTCAAGGATTGTGGAGAGCGGCCTTGCAACGATGTCAGCCAGCTCTCTTAACACCCCTGGGTGGATGTTGTCAGGGCCCATCAGTTTGTAGGAGTCAAGCTCCTACAATTGTTCAGATACCAACTCTTCCTTCACTGATGGTGGGTGTGTGTTTGCATCAACCTGTGTTTTTCTTCCCAAGGCCTGGGACCCAACAGTGCTGGTAAAGACAGGTCAAGAAAATGTTGAGAACCTCTGCCTTTTCAGCATTGTTGGTGTCTAATTAATCTCTCCTGTTTAACAGTGGGCCAATATTTTCCTTCTAAGACAATATAGAACTCTGGAAACATTTTTCTCAAAGTCATTAAATGCAGCATCTTTCAGTAAGTATCTTGTGACTTAAGGAGAAGTTCTGGTCCAACTATAGAAGTCGTATCAATCCTGTGATGTGCGGGAAGGTCATGTGTGTTTGTAAAGTCTTCTCGCCTGCAGAATTTGAGCTTTTTCTTTTCAGTTGTGTTCTTAATGTTATATCCTTCAGCAATTGTAACTCTTCTTCCAATGTGCATAACATTTTTAATGGAAGTTTGTGTATAGTGACATGACTTCATCTTATTTTCAAATGTATCTACATGTAGACAGCAGGAAATAATGGCATACATTTAAAATTCCATTTGTCCTTCTTCTGAATAGGTGTGGTATTCTTTGTGCATGAAAATCTGATGTCATAAGAGTGTATCATGTAGACATGCAAAGTGTTATGAAAAACTAATTTATATTTTGTATTTTTATAAATGCTCCATATTAAGTGTGCTAATTTTGAAAGTAAGAGTTGAGAAAAATGGCCCATATAGTCTGTCTCAGTTCTCTGTATGGTTTGCAAAGGTCAAAAATCTTCTCTGTGGAAGGTGGAATTGGTTAAGTATTGGAGAAAAAGAAATGCAGCTCTGTGTTTCCATTTCAGTTGCTAGAGCAAGGGTTTGCCGTATTTGAATGTTAACTTGGTAGCCAAGCACTATCTCTGACATCAAGGTTGGAGAGGTAGCTGACAGTATCAGTTAAGTGTGCAGGATGTTTTGAGAGCCCTGAACTACAACTTAGCAAGTAGCATTTTTGGAGGTAAATCATTCTACTCCTACTCATTTCTACAATTAAGAACACTCCTGTCACTTCACTCTTAAGTTTTCTATCTCACTGACAAGCATTGTTTTTCAGATCTCCCCTTAGAGGTACCATGATATGACATTAGATTGAATTACCTTTTGAAGTTTCTTCTAAGTGACTCTAACTTGCTTATCTATTTCTGTTTTTAAGTTAAAGCAGTCCTTAAAAAAAGAGAGTATGGACCAAAATACACACAGAATAACTTCATCACTGGAGTCAGAGCAATAAATGAGTTCTGTCTTAAATCCAGGTATGATGGGTTCGAGTTGGAATTTAAATTGTGAATATTTTTTCGGATGTGCTTCAAAAGTAATTGTGGTCGGAGTGATTTTGCACAGCAACTTTTTCTAAATGTTTTTGTGGTACATAATCATAAGTGTCTGAAGTTAGTTCTTGTTTGCTTAGCGTTAGCTAAGGAACTTGCACTTAGTTAGCATGTTTCCATAGTGGCCTCCTATGGTAATGTATTTGTACTTACATGACCGTAAATCCAGCTGGGGGCAGTCCACATCTAGAGCAGCTAGTCGTAGGGGGGAATGGCAAATAACTTGTTTCAGCATTTTGGGATCATGATGATTTGATGTGAACATCTCTGAAAGATCAGTGGAAACTTCATGTCATGTGAGGTCTGTAATTTGGAATAAAATATAATCTGGTTCATTGTAACCTAACTATTGTTACTTAATTTATATTTACTGCCTTTTACTATGTGCCATGCCTGCCAGCAGGTCTTACTGATTATTGCTATATTTGAGGTGTCTGTCAGTTTTCATGCATGCTATGTGTGTGACCCCAAGGCTTAGCAGCTTTGTTTATAGCTTTTTATGCTGTCACTGTTCCTCCCTAGTTTTTACATATAATGTATATCACTAGACTTGTCTTTGGTAAAAATCCAGTGACAAATTATGTTTAGTCCTTTGCCATATTTTTATCATAACTGGCTTGTGCAGAGAAATAACTAGCTAAAGTTTTAGGGGCAGGAGAAAAAAAACCCCACTAGATAATTGCTTGTTGTATTTAAAAAAAAAAATTCCTGATGCTTCTCAATGTAGATGCCCTAATGTGTAGCTCAGCACAGGAAATCTATCTATTCCCCAAAGTAGTTTGTTGTCTTCAGCCTTTTGCAGCTTGTGCTGGGTATGTAGGTTTTGAGGTTCAATTTCTTGACTTTTCCTGTCATGCAACTTCTGCTTGCCATTTAGATGTTAAACCATGAACCCTCTTTTTTAGCACTTGTAGCCATTATCAGTTACATGCAGATCAGTCATTGGATGTTTTATTATTCAATGTTTTATTACTTTGTCTTCCATGTGTAGTGTTTCATAGTGTGAGGATGTGTTTTGGACTTTTGAGTGTGGAAAATGCAGTGGTTTTCAGTAGCATCCTAGAGATCACTTGTTTCATGCTATGTATCTGTTCTGTTTGGCTCATGTAAGTAACTTCATTTTTTTTGTACTGCAAGTTAATAATATCAAAATTGTGGAAGATCTCCCAGACATGAAAGTAAAATTACAATAGTATGAACTTTTTCTTGCACTAAACCGTTTGTCCACTTTCCTTAGTGATTTAGACCAGCTGCGGAAAATTAAACGACGAAGCCCCCATGATGACACTGAGACTTTCACTGTGTACCTGAGAGCAGATGTAGAGGCAAAGTAAGAACGCTTTTATGAAAAGAAGTGTTTGGATCATTTAAAATCGATTATATGAGAAAAAGAAAAAACTTTTAAAATGAGTTTACAATGTGAAAGGGCAGTAATGTTTTCTGTTTTCTATCTGAACACATATTATACTCTTATTATTGTAATAATTACATGGTGGATATGAAATTGGAGGATATGTTTCATGTATTCAAATATTAAGTGCTTGTCCTCAGTCCCCTCTTGCCCAGCTCTTTATTCTGTAGAGTAGTCTGTGTGGCTTCTTATCAGAAAGAATGCTGTGATGTTCTGCTTTTAGGAAAGGCATTTGTAATGTAGTCAAACTGAAAAGAAGTTCCATAAATAAAACTGCTGCTAAGTTACTTTTACTCTGTTCAGGTCTCTTGAAGTTTGGGGTAGTCCAGAGGCTCTTGCTAGAGAAAGAAAACGCCGTAAAGAGGAAGAGATCAAGTACAGAGAAAGTGAGTATAGAGTTTTCAAATAACTTCAAATGTAAACAACAAAGTACGATTGTTAGAAATCCACTAGATGGTGTGCTATTTAATTGAGAACATACAGTTTTGGAATTTGCAATTACAGGTAAGGTTTTACAGCATAGTGTTAGACTAACACAGTACTGTCTATGCAGATATAGTCTGTTACTATCTTGCAATTTATCATTTGTGGGATACAGCAAGAATATGCATTTGGTTGAGGTCTATAGTAATACTTTGTTTTTTTGGAGGGCTTTCGGTTTTTAGATTATAGTTAACAGCTTCAATGGTTTGGGATTTTTTAATTGAGAATTTTGAAAAGACTTAAAACCAATCCGGTTCTTGATACCATACCATTACTCATTTATTTTTAATCTGAAATGAATTCAGCTTACCTTTGTGCTTCAGAAGTGGGGGAAACATCCTCAGATAATGCTTTTGCTTAAAATTATTGTTGTCATCCTTGCTGGTATTGTCAATAACAGGTACAGTCAAATCAGTAGTTTGTAATGGATTTTGATCTGTCTAGTCAGTTAAAGTCACAGGAGAGGCAATATTGCTTCAAGGTACTTATTCCAATTATGCACCTTAAAATTAGAGGTCTTTTCATCTTTTTTTTGAAACAGTTGTGCCACTGGATCACCCTCCTAGTAAAAAGGCTAGAGCTGCAGGCACTTGTTAAGGTACCTGGAAGTGTTTGTACTGAAAGTGCAGTCAGTAGCTTCAAAATTTTAGTGACCAGCAGAATAATTCATGGACATAATTTAAAGAAAAAAAGATTAAAAAAATACTGCTCAGTCATAACAGCATACTGAAACATTGTACACTTGAAGTGGGTAACTCACTTTTTACAGCCTATCCTCATACTCCACCAGCTGTTTTAATCTACTTAAATTATTTTGTACAATGTATTTAATATAACTTTGTAGGGGAGAATCGAGCACTACAGCTTCTAAATACAGTAGTATAGCAATGTTTATTTTGAAGTTGATGAACATTGTTAGTGGATTGAAAAATACTGATGTTAAGAGACTTTCTTTGAAACGTCCTTCCCCCTCTCTTTTGTGCTTAAGGGATGGGAGGGGGGGCCAGTAGAATGTCTGGATTTGGTGCAGTGTATTTTGAGTTTTTCCCTCTGTGTATCATCCTTTGTTGGTAGAAATGGCAACAATGTATAGGATCATAATAGATTGTATTTGACATTTTACATGAGTATATAACAATATGTGTTTCTGATTAACAATACCAGGAGAGGAGTCTTTCACAAAGAAAGACAGACCATGTAATTGTTACTAGAAGTTGGCTGCTGCATAGAAAACATTAGACTTCAATTCCTGAAAGTACTGGTTACTAGTAAGCATTCACAATAACAATTTTGTATTGCAGAACTATTTAGAAACCAAAGACTATTGAGGGAATACAGGGAGTTCTTTGGAAATACTAAGGTAAGACATATTTTAAAGTTTTTTGCTAGACAAATGACTCAAGATCTACTATGACACCTTTTGAAGGAAAAAGTTGTGAAATGGTTGCATAAGCTTAACTAACTGAGTATTACTGGAAGATTTATTTGCATTGTAACATACCAGATCTGTCTCTGATTGTAATGCAGTGATAAATGTTATGATGCCAGTTTAAATGGGTTCCTACTGTGGCAGTGTAATCCACCAGTAAGGTTTTTTGGTCAGTTGCCTTCTTATTCACAAAATTGTATTTGTGATTTCATCTGTAGCCTATGAACTTGTATAGTAAACACACTGTTAATTTAGAGAAATTAAATAGGTTTTTTAAGGAAGAAGACCCAACACATTAACACTTTGCTCTCTGCCATACTGGCCCTTCCTCTTTGCTTAAGCTGACCCAGTCTCTAGATGCAGATGCTGTGCTATGGTAGAATGATCTCTTGATCTTTCTGCTGCACAGCTGGTTCCTGTCCTTATGGTTGCAGTGGCCCCTGCTGGAGGCTTTGTTGGTTATTTATCCTTTTTGTAGCCATCCATTTGTAGAAATGTGTAAGACCCAACTGCAGTTTGGGTGAGAATTCAGTAGCAGATTAGTAGGCTTCAAGGACTTCACTTTTGCAATACAGGTAATGCAAAGTTTTTATTTAATAATTTGTATGGTACATCCTTCATAAGGTCAAGATTTGGTTATTTTATTTTAATAATATCTTATTTCTTTATGTAGCCACGCTCCAGTGCAGCAGCTATGTTTTTCAAGGGACCAGGAAAGGTGGTAATGGTAGCTATTTGCATGTAAGTTTAAAAAAATTAGTGTTTTGTTTATGCAAGTATAAACCAATTTATTTTTATTATCCTGGAAATGAGAACAGTCTGTATTAAAGCTAAAGATACGTGTGTCTCTGTAACTGAAGTTAATAGAATTGTTTATTAATTGTTGATGGGCGAGAGTTTAGGTAAATACATTCATCAATATATAGAGTTCAGGGATAGAATATATCTCTCTGATCAGAGAAGAGCAAATATTTTTAAGTTGATCAGACTAAACAGTTTATTAAAGTGAAAACCAACATTTTTAATGGCATGGAGAGCCACGCATTTAAAGTTGTCTTATTTTTTTTTGTTTGATCTTGAGAGGAAGCTTTTGATGTGTTTTAAACAATCTTCCCTATAACCAACAGAAAAGAATTTGCTGTTTCTGCTGTTATTCAGTTCTTTTCTTCTCTAACTGATAAGGGGATATTTTGAGGTTTTTGCCTTTCACATGTCTTACAAGTTTGAGTGAAACAAAACTAATATAATGATTCTGATTTAAAGCAAGTAAACACAAAGACTATCTGTCATGAAATAAATGTGTGTTAAGTTTCACTGGGGAAAGGTTGGCTGAAATTTACTTGCCCTAAAACCAGTGAATTTTAAAATAAATTTGATTTTTAAAAGGTATTTGTTTGGTAAGACACTATCAATATAAGGGAGCAAAATAGAAATATAGGGAAAATGCTCTTTTTTTTTTTTTTTGAGTTTTCCTACAAAACTATATGGTTTTTGCTTGGGGAAAAAAACCACAAAGCTTGTTTGACTGAAAATCTAATTACTTTATAAATAGTTATTCAAGGCTCTCTAAGTTAAAAACATGTAAGAACTACTGGCATGGATGTTTCTAATGGAAAGAAAAAGATGAGGGACTGTTGTATGGTAACTTCTACTTCCTTCATGTTTTTTTTACAGTGATCTAGAGAAAGCAGACCCTTCCTCCTGCTCTGTAAATATGGCATTGCTATAGACATTGCACTCTCTTCACTTCATAAATACCTTTTGGATGATTAGGTGCTTTTATAGATGAATGCCTGGCAGCCAGGCCAGCGGAAGTTTGTATAGCCTGTTGTATTTCTCAGTTGTCTTTTTGTGGAGCTTTTTTAGAAGTTAAAGGATCTTTTGTGGCCCTCAAATACCTGATGACTTTTCAGAGATTTAAGTCAAGGCCACTGTCAATGCTTCTTTGTTCATGGCCCTGATCTTCTTGACATCAGGTGATTTTTTAAGGGCTTTTGGTTTTGGGTCAAGAAAGGCCAATCTGTCTTAACTTCTCTGGTTGGAATGATTTGGTAGGCTTTTCACTAACTTCAGGCTTCCCTAGCGAGGATGAAATGTGGTTCAATAAAAAGCAGAGTTCTTCTCTATGGATCCACGTGTGAAGGTATAGACCAGGTGCACTGGCACATTCTGTGTTGTTAATAGAATTCTGTGTGTGAGAAAAACTTTAAAGCTCTGTTAGACAAATACAGGAAAGTAATGTTTTTTATCAAAAAGGGAATGATCTTTTATTAGCAAAACATTCTTCAGAGTCCTGCATTGTTGAAGTGCTTTCATTGTCCTGCTAATGCTTTATCTTTTAAACAATACGAAGTTTGCATGGTATATATTTTTTTTTTAAATACTAGTGGTCAAGGATGTTAGTAATGTTACTGCTGCTTTTGAAATAGGCCTGATGAAATGTGTTTAGTTCTCAAATCTAGAGCCTAAATAGAAGATTTTTTTTTGATAGGTTCGTAATGGTTCTGAATAGTTTCAGTTTGATTTTTTATTTTGGATTTTTATTTTTTTACTGTCCGTTCTTCAAAAGCCTAAATATTTTATGTGGGTAGACAGGGATAGTTGTGTAAATCCGATCAGGTCCTTCTAGACCATTATCTAATTCTCTAAGGTAGAGTAGAAAAAGTGGGCAATCACATGATGGTACAATTCTTCATACATATTTCTCAATTCCCCGTTCAACTTAGGGTTTTGAGGTGGTTACGTTGAAACAAATTTTGAATGATAAATATGTAAAAGCAGGTGTTAATGCCCTTTAATTTTTTCAGGTTTACAGTTCAGACAGGATAGATTTATTTGAATTTGTTTTAGTTGTAATTAAATTGTTAAGTTAGGAACCTTCATTTGAATAAATGATTTTTGACCTACTTTTGCATTTATGTATTTTGTGTTTTTTTTTTCCAAAGAAAAGCTGATTCTGTTACTGTATCAGTACATCTTACAGTTACCAATTAAATTTAAAATTGACAAGATTTCTGACAGTAAGGAAGATGTATATCTGTTTCAATGTTCCTCCCCTCCCATTTTGTTGGTGAACATTTGCCTCTTCTGTGAACTTTGGAATACAATTATAAACAGTTGAATGAAACTGCTTATTTTCTAGGTGCAGAAGAGAAGCTTATTAGAAAATGTTGTATAGTAGTAGGTTTAATAAGCAAGAGAATTGTACCTAATGAACCACGGTGGGGTTTGTTTTTGTTTTTTTGTTATTCCTTAGCATGATGTCCAAATCGTTACAATAAATCTGTTTCAGACTTTACCTAGCTTTGGTTTAAGTTCTGTTAAGATTTTCTACTCTTTCAGGTCTGTGCAGATAGAAATGAGGCAGCTAAATCAGTCAGTTCATTTCGGTACAATAGAGAAAACACTTTTTGAATTGGTGGTCACTGATGTAAAAGATAACTTCGTTTCAAACTGATTTGAAGCATTTTAGCTGCCTTCTCAGAATCTGATGGTTTTGGATTGTTTTTCCTCTTCTGTTTAAAATCTTTGTAGTATTTCTTCAACAGAATTATTCTTTCATAGGGCTTATTATTTTCAAATGCAGTGCTGAATTTGTTTTTCAAAGCAACGCATAATTTACCTGCAGTAAAAACCTGACTTTTTTTTCACTCCAAACTGACTTTTTTCTGTTATCTTACATTGATGTGAACATCTCATCAGACAAGAAACACCAAATAGCCTTGATGGCTCTGTAGAATCACTAGGCTTTATAATTGTTTCTTATGTAGGACTCTTTCTCTCCTATGTCTCGAACTTACTAGACATCATTAACAGATTGATTTTGCTGGGCCTGACATTTGAAAACCTTATTGTGGTTTATTTCTAGATTTCTAGGGTGTCAAATCCTGCCCCCCAATTTGAAATTTGTAGGGGTGAAATAAAATATCAGCTGAGTGCCTGCTGTGTTATCTGAACAGGTGGGGGCCCCACAAATGAATTGTGCCTTCAGATAAGCTGTCAACTCCATTAATACAACATTGAGAAGAACAATGCAGAAGTCAAGAGACTGTGCTCATGAATCTCACTGTAATTTCATTTTCTTTCTATGCTAAAGATGCACTATGTTGTGAGTTGGAAGAACTTGAAATTAACACAAGGAGTTTAAATTATGGATGAGTTTTACAACAGCCTTCCTTTCTTCTTGGACTATCCACTAATTTACACATTTTTTTTTACTTCCCACCTATAAATTACGGTGAAGCTTCACCATCTCATGAGGTAATTAGACTAAATTAAAAATGGTAGAGCATGTTCAGGTCCTTGGATGGAAGGAGGCATTGAAAACAGTGCTACCTCTTGCTGGAAGAAGTGGATGTAGAAATTCCTTAAGGATGACCTTGGAAATGAATGTTATTTAATCAGCTGTCTAATCTGGTGTATGGCAAGGGGATGTACGTATGCTTCTTGAATTTAAATATAATTTCTTGGCATGTGGTTGTTCAAAAATGCAACTACAAGTTATTGTTAATACTTATTTATAACACTTAATTTCATTTGAATGCTTTTAAAAATTCCCAATAAGCTAAACTCAAATATGAAGAATGTTATAGTCCTCTAGTCTGATTCTCTTTGTAATACGATTCTAATAATTAACCTACTGATTCTGATAGTGAATGTTTGAAGTGAGAATGTAGACTCGTATATTAGTGCCATTAATTATCCTGTTCTGTACAACGTAACATGATGCTTACTCCCGTCAGCCTGTAGCCTAAAAAAAGACTTGAGAATTCACACTGGGCATCTTGGTGGAAAAGTTCCGTAGATAATTTTTACAGTGTAATCTAATGACAGCCTTTTCTTCCTGTCTGTTGTCTTACGTTTATATCGTACTGGGAATTGCCCAAGCTGAGATTGAAGTGGGAAATCTTGCACTCTCGTATTAGGAGGGGATGTATAGGAGGCAAAGGATTGAAGAAAGAGAAGAGGAATTTTTTAAGGCTTGTATACTCCTACTAGTAGGCAATTAGATGTTCTGAGTAGTGTATGTGTTGGTAGTTTTCAGAAGAGAAACTTATTCAGGGCTGCTTAGAAGTTAATTTATTTTTTCCAAAATTGTTGTATATCATCAAGTTTAACTGAAAGGGCTTTTTAACAGTAACCATGCAGAAAATGTGTGTGGCTTGTCTGCCTGTACAGGTCTCTACTGATATTTGGTTTCACCACTTGCTGGCAAGTAATGTGTGACTATACAGCACTTTTATTTCTTTTCTTCATTTTCAGAAATGGGTTGAATTTTTTCTTTAAGCTACTTGCTTGGGTTTACACGGGTTCTGCAAGTATGTTTTCAGAAGCCATACATTCTTTAGCAGACACATGCAACCAGGTGAGTATTTTTTCCCTTCTGCTTAAGTTAGCACTTGTAATAATTTTCCAGGAATAAAGTTTTTACACTTGAAAGCAATAATTAAATCTACTAGTGTTCCTTAATTTGCCTATACTGTCTAAACACAGTGTTTTATTTAGGAGGACTAGAGCGCATGGCACAATACTTCAGTTTTCTTTTATAAAGTTTACTTATAGATAACATCAGTGTTGTAGAGCAGCCTAGAAACTCCAAGTTTATTAGCCACAACTCTTATTAAAAATGACTTTCAAATTCTGCTGTGACATGTATTTACAGTGCTCTTGCTGTTCAATACCTGTGATCATTTTTGTACTCTTTTGTATGATTTGCATGCTTTAGAATTAGTAGTAGTATAGTCTAGGAGCAAAAAAAGCGAATACTTAATCTAATGACCATTTAAATAATTTTGAGGCAAAATGGTCTTAAAAGATGTTTTTTAAACAAATGGTTTCATCTGCAAGAGGGTGTTTGTGTATTTTACTTTATTATTACATAATTTGTGGTTTCAGTCACTCAAATTACAAAGCCTGCCCAGAGTGTGACATGCTCTGTGTGCATGCAACAGGAGAAAGATGTACTCTTTTCTGTGTGTGTGTGTAGTATACATGTGTATTTTTTAGCTTCCCTGAGACAAAATTGAATCTCACTTAAAAAGTAATGTTACTGTTATATACAGTTTTTATCAAACTGTAGTAGATGAAGGCATATTTTGTCATAAATTTACATTACTTTAGAAGTACTGCTAAGCACAGAGCTCTTTCTGCTGTTGCCCAATCAGAGTGCACAGCAGTTGTTACTCTGTGGCAAATTTACTTGCGAAAAGTAGTGGTTTCAACTAGTGATTTCTACAGGTTTATCTAGCTGCTCTTTTATTCTTGATGCCAGCAATTTGAATGGAGGGTTTATAAACTTAACAGTAAAATAACTGACCAAGTCTAGAAGCCTTAAATCTAGAAAGAGTGACCTGTAATTATAAATAAAATCTGTTTGAATGGTGTTAGGACTAGTATTTCTGTTAATATGATACTGTTTGTAATGCATGTACATTATTTCAAACTGCTTGCCCCAATTACTTCTTTTCTAACCTTTTGTTTTTTCATATAATTGATTGTTCTGTACTTCAGTTGCAGTTTATTTTCCCTATAGCTATCAAGATGAAAGTGCACCAAAAAGTTACATGGGTTATAATATTAGTCAAATATATAAACATTAGGGAGTAAGTCCTAGGACAAGCTTAATTTTGTTTGTCACAGTGCATATGCATAGTGTGGCCAGCCTTATCAAAAACACACAGCTCTGAGTCTGACACACCACCTGTCAAAGTAAATGTGCTATGTATGTAGTTGCTAGTGCTGTGGGAGGCTGCTAAGGCAGTCTAGGAATAGAAAGATGAAAATTTGAGCATCGTGGTTTCTCATTATTCTAGCAAGAGATGACTAAGCAACAAAGTCTGTAATTCTGTGACAGTACCTGACAGGAAAGTGTTTCAAGTTAACACTTAACCAAAATAAGAAAGAGGTATACTTTGTACATCATCTCAGTTTCAAGTCCAGTTGCTAACCTACTTCATGGATTATAAGTGGCACATTTACTTTGATAGGTGGTGTGGCAGACTCAGAGCTGGGAATGTAATATTAGTGTGCAGGGACAAAACTAATGGGTTTTTTCCACTATTTTCTTTACTGTGCTTGAGGCATACATTACGAGACCTTGAGATCACCCCTTGTTCCAATGTAGAAAGAATCTTTCTTGTTGCAGTTTTTGGTATAGCAAGGCTTTAGAAACAAAAAAAGCACTTAAAGACGAGTGGCTAAAACCCTCCTGCACCTCAAGCAAGAGCAGTCCTTGTAACTCATAAAATGCAACAGTCTTGTGCTCCTATAAATTTGAAGAAGGTATGGAACCTTAGAGCAGACTTAACATCTTAAAAAGCATTGTAACATAATTTTAGCTACTTTTTGTGTCAGTTGTAGCTAGTATGCTTCTCTGTTGGGAAAGACTGAGTTGAGGACTCTTGTTTTGTTTGCTATTTTTTTATAAATGGTTTTACACCACCTTCAGGTGTTCCAACTGTAAAGTGAAGACAGGGTTGCTACTAACGCAACTGATGATACTTAAAGAAATTTTATGGGGGGACAGCCTTAAAGTGTGTGATTTTCATTTGGCCAAGTGTGGCAGTTTATAGGTGAAACAAGTTCCATAGCGATATTATCTGCCACTTATATGTGGAAGAGCTGTTCTGATTTTTAAGCGTGAAAGTTATATGTTCCACTGGAAATGTGGAGGTTTTTTTTCTCAAATATTTGAGTATGTGGTTTTTGCAGAAAATGCAGGAGAAATCTTGCTGCCTCAAAGCAGCTTGCTGCTGCGAAGACTGAAATGTCTAAACTTTCAATACTTGTTATTGTTTCAGTAATTCATGGTCCTAAAACAAAGCATGTGCTTTGCAAAATTGAGGTCTAGATTTATAACTTACTGCATGAATAGTTTAGTTATTGCTCTAAATGTAGTACGCCATCACCATAGTTTCTGTATAATTTCTCTTCAAGAAGGATTTATTTAAATAGTTTTTTTCCCTGAACAACTCCATTCCTTCACATTGAAGCAGAGGAACAACACTTGTGATTGCACATAATGTTCACTTTCGGTTGCAATTCTAAAGTTATAATTAACAGTAATTATACAGATATACATGCTATATAATTTCATATATATTATATATAGGTATAATTAACAATTGGTTTGGGGCAGTAGATTTAGGTGACAGATTTTGAGGATTATATTACAGCTCTAACGAAATACCAGTAACAAGGCATATATGCAGATCAGCAAATTGCATCTGCCTTTATCTTTCAAGTTCAGTTGATATAGAATGTTTCTAAATTTTTTTTTGTAACCAAGTTTTTTTTCCTTTTGTCCTGAATAGGCATTGCTAGCTTTGGGCATCAGTCAGTCTGCAAGGACGCCTGACCCTAGTCATCCGTAAGGTTTTTGAGTAAATAATGATTTTGGTAATTACATGTAGGAGTAAGATCAGTTCTTGTTTGGGCATCACCTTGTTCTTTTTAGTTTACTGTTGCATATAACTTCTGATATGTTTTTTTTCTGATTTTACAACAGATAAAATAAGAAAAGGGATTTCTTCCAAACTGCAGGAGTTCTAGCTTCAGTGGCTTGATTCATGTTATATTTCTTTTTTGTTTTTTTGTGGTATGCTTTTTGATGTGTATTATTTTAATTGGCATTATTTCTTTAAGTTGTTCTCAGCTCTTCTTCCAATGGATAGATTTACTTTCTTTTTAAACACTATTCATGCGAATGACAAGATTTTTTAAAAATGAAAAATACTCTCCTCTTCCTATTTTCAACAAAGTGCTTTTCTGCAAGGCAGCTACTTGTACCATAAGGAGATGTGTTTGACTTAAAATACTCTCTGTTTTTATCTGAGTAATAAGGATATTATTTATAAGTTCTTACAACTTGATGAAAGTTAGAAGCTGTACTTGCCGTTATTTTCTTGGTGTTGACCTGCTTTACACTTTACATGTTTGAACAAGTCATTCATACTGTAAGCACTAGTTCAAAATACATCTAATTTACAGAATTAGTTAAGCTTTTTATCGTTAAGAGCATCATGTAATTTGAAGAATGTTTTAATCTTAAATTTTTCTAAGTATCTGTTGTATCTCCTTCCCCTTTTTTACTTTTTCCCTTCTTCCTCAATATAGTTCTTTGTACTGTTGGTTTTTAATGTTGCTAAAGAAATGTACTGTTTGTAGTAGCAGTTAATACCAAAAAAAGGAATAAAGGTACACTTTTAATATTCCTTTAGCTCTTTCCACTGCTCTTGAAAACTGCAAGTGTTGAATGTTTGCAGATAGCTGAACTACTAAAGGATGTTACAAAGTTTATTCCTTTTAAATTAGCATTATAAAATATGGCTGCCTATAAGGCTAGAGTTTTCATTTAGAAGTAGCATGTTAATAAAATGTGGAAGTGACATGAACGTTGGGGTTTGTTTTCTTACAGTAGTAAAATCTTCTCTTTCTGTACAATAGCTAATAATCTGTAAATAGCTTGTTTAAAAATGAATTAGAAAAATATTTATGTTTGCTGTCTTTGTGTGTACTCGATATCCTTTTCCAGGTGGCTTTTTTTTTTTCCCTTGGATTAGGTTGGATTGGGCAGCTTTGTGTTAAATAGATGCCCAGTCATATGATGATAATTTAACACATGTAAAAATTAATGGAAAAATCTTGTAGATATATTTGCAGAGATATAGAATCTTATTTTCCTAAATAACGTCCTTTTGTTTTCATTTAGGTATGGTTTCACAAACATGCGCTATATTGCCTCCCTGATTAGTGGTGTGGGCATTTTCATGATGGGTGCAGGACTTTCTTGGTATCATGGGATCATAGGTTTACTCCACCCTCATCCTATAGAATCTCTTCTCTGGGTAAGATAATCTTGTTTGATATTGTATCTAACACTGGTGACTTCACAGAAAGTGATGGCACAGTCTGAAATTCACTTCCTGGGTCAGTTTGAATCCCAACACAATTAGTTCAAACCATCCTTAGTGAGAATTTTTTAAAGAAAAAAATAATGTTGAACTATAGCTGATCTTACAGCAAAATAAGCTGTTCTTTAAACCCTGCATCTTCCCTTCACACCTCCCAAGAAATCCTCCTTTCCTATTTTGCAATATATTGCATAATTCAAGTATTGTTGGTTGTCTTCTGTGTAGGGACAGCTACATGGCACAGTGGGTAATGGGGCTCTGGAGTGCTGCGTTTGGATAGTCTATGGTGAAGAGATCTGTAGAAATATGCATATAGCATAATAATTGAGACTTTTTTTCATACAGGCGTACTGCATTTTAGCAGGGTCGTTGGTATCTGAAGGAGGTATGGAGTTTCAAGAAATATTTAAGTGTTTGTAATCTCTTAAGAGTACAATGTGAATAATTACAGTAATAATTGGTCATTGCTTACACAGTAAAGTTTTAAGCTTTGTTGCAAAATACTTGTGTTCTAAACAAACAAAAGTGGGAAAACTTTTTTCCTTATGCGTAAATAGAACACATAATTTGGAAAGTATATGTAAAACGCCTTCTTAGCATTAAATTAGCAGTGAATATAACTCTTCTGATTTGTATGGGAGAGACGCATATAGAAAAGACTTTATGCTTTGTCATTATTCAAAGAATCAATAATCAGAGCTTTCTTGATTATCTGGTGCTATGATATAAAAGTTCCCTCCTTTCAAAATGGAAGTAAGGCTTTTTGCCTCTTAACCGTTTTCAGCAACTACTTTGGTGTTGTTTCAGCTACCCTTCTTGTTGCTATAAATGAAATTCGGAGGAGTGCTCGAGCCAAGGGTCTGTCATTTTATCAATATGGTATGTGTTGTTATAGCAGTAAGCTAGGTGGTTATTTAAAAGGGAATCTATTTACCTGTATTTGCATAATGATAGAAACAGTTTTGTCTCTTCTCCCTTTCCCCTTGCCTTGCTGATCTGTTTTCTATTCTAGTAACAAATACATTTTACAAATTAGGTTAAAACCTGTTGATTTAAGTAACACTGCTTAGATACTTTTACTAAACTACTTGCATTTTTCAGGATAAATGCCCCCTACATTTTTTCAGACATTTTGGAGAGGTTTCCATAATTGGCAGTGTGCTTTTTCTGTGTATTTATGAATGCTTTCAGAAGTGTGCATATGCAAAAATTCAGTTTACACCTGTATACTTTCTGAAATTTTTCTCTTAAGTTACTGGTGTTAGTGTAGTTTAAATACTGTGCATGATGTAGTAAAGCTAAGTTTTCCAAGGCAATGTAATTTTTTTTGTTGTATACACAGTCGTGCAGAGTCGCGATCCTAGTACAAATGTGGTGTTACTGGAGGATGCTGCAGCAGTTCTGAGTGTGGCCGTAGCTGCTACCTGTATGGGTCTGACTTCTTTAACAGGTAAAATTCTGCTTCAAACTGAGGCAAGCGGGATGTGAATTTCCTCCTGGGCGTGATATGAACACAGAGCATTTAGTTCATATTGGTTGTCTTAAATACATCTCTACTCTTTTTTCTGATACTTGCACTGTGTAAACTTCTGGAGGTTTATACTGTTCTCTGATCTGATTTATAGTCATTTGAGTTGAAAATATTTAGAATAAAAAAGTTTTTTTGTTTTTTTCATATGTCTGTTACTGGTGGGGTTAAGCTTGAAAGAGTATGTGCAGATGGGTCTAACTTCCTTTTGAGCAATTTTATCATACAAACCAAGGTATTTTTCACTAAAGGTATGTTTATTGTAGTCAGTTATGCAAATCACTGTGTGCCCTGGTGGGATTGCGTAATCTGAATTTCCTTATTCAGTGGCGCGCAGCTCCACGTGCATGTGGGGATGATTTAAGGAAGCAGTTCTTTCCTTCCTTTTGATACACAGTGATATTAGTGTTACCTTCAAATTACAATAGCTGCTCCTGAACAGTGTGGCAAACCTAACTCACGCAGGTAGGATGAACTGTATTGCAACTGGTTCAAAGTCTGTCTTTGCTGTACAGTTTAAGTTTTCTAAAGAGGGAAGATTATTTGCCACCTTTTAAGTATTGGCTTTGGCTCTCAATTGTTTAAAAAAATAAATATGGTAATTTTGTTTCTTTGTGGCTTTTAATGAGTTAATTGCAAGTGTCATTTTTTATATAGAAATCAGGTTTTTATTCCATCTATAGTTTCCTTTGTAAAGTTAAAAATACATTACTGTTTCTACAAATCTGAGTATGAATGAATACATGTTTAAAACTTATTATCTGTGTTCCAGAAATGGTTAATACTTCTCAGTTTTTGGGTTACTGATAAAAGAACACAGACTTTTGTGCTACTGCTTGTATTTAAGTGTATATAATTTTATATTAATAAAGGTAAATCTATACACAGAAACCTAAATAGCTAACAAGAGTTTACTCATTTATTAGTCCTGCAGGAGACAGGAGTGGCTGAGGGACAGGAAGGACTTGATACTTTATCTTAAGATAACTTGTTTTCTTCCAGCTTCATCTTGCTCCTCAGTAGGAAAGAATTGCCAGTTCCTTTAAAAAACCCCAAAAAACAAAACAACAAACCACAATAAACAAAATCCCACCAAAAAGCAAAATCCGAAAAACCCATCACAACTATGTACTCCTTTCAGTGTGAAATCTGAATTATCTGCTATGTTTTAGAAATGCTCAGTGAAATTTACTTGACATCTCTTGTTTAGGAAACCCTTATTATGACAGTGTGGGGTCTCTAGGTGTTGGAACTTTGTTAGGAACTGTGTCAGCATTTCTAATCTACACTAACACTGAAGCCCTGCTGGGACGATCCATTCAACCTGAACAACTGCAGCGACTCACTGAGTTACTGGAAAGTGATCCTGTGGTAAGGTGAGAATCTTTACAGCTCAAGCTCTACTAAGAACAAAAAGCAGGAAAATAACATTAGAAAAAAATAGTTAACACACTTTAAATGAAAGGGATGGATTACTTTTAGAGTGGATTCTTCTGTATCGAGATTTTAGAATCTTAATTATTACTAACTTCTGTTTCTATGCTAAAAATGTCAATAAGTGAATACTCCTGCCACTCGGATGTTTCAAAGCTGAAATAAAATTGCAAATATGTTCTAACAGTTACATTAATTACAGGAGTTGACAATGACTTAATGAGAAAGCCATTGCAAACTTAAAACTATTTTCAAATGCATGAAATGCAGGCACTTAAATGATACTGTAATGTTGCTTTTATAGTATATTAGCACTTAAATATTTAAATTCTGTTACTGTTAATATTCAGTGTTTGGAATTCTGTAGCAGTTGGCAGTGAAATGCTGCAATAGTGTTACGGTGTAATATATTCTGCATGTTAGGTGCTTGCAGAATGAACTCTATGCTAATTTCTCTTTATTTAGAAATCTGCAATTTGCAGTGAAATAAACTTACTGCTCTTTGTAGTTCTGAATTCTTTAAATGCTTTTTAAGGAGCTATTTTAGTTTACTTTAACCCTATTAACCTTGATTTAGAAGCAAAACCTTTTTTATTTTCTTCTTAGTCTTTATTCAGGAATATATTTCAATCTAAATCAGCTGGAATATTTTAGAGCTTTTCTAATTTGTAGTCATTACTGAGCTCTGGAGGGGGGGAAAAAATCCAGCCCATTAGTTTCTTTCAAGTATTCCATTGTTAGCTGAGTGCTGCATCATCTCCGTTGCAAGCAACAGGTCTGAATGTCCTGAATTCCAGAAGCTGAACAAGATTCCTGTTGTGGATTAGGATTTTGTTGGAATTTTCACATGTCAGTAACTAAACTCTGTTAAAGTATTTGTGGTGGCCTTGAATTAGTGGAGCATGCATTAATAATGCTGTGTTAGAGTAGGTGAGTTCAGATGGTTATTTGTACATGATTTTCTGTAGTTCTTTTTTCCAAAGTGCACAGGTGGCTTGTGTGTGTCCCAGGCTGGAATCACAAAATTTCTGCTATTCGAAGAACTATTTTGTATTATATTCCGTTTTGCAGATGGCTGTAACTTCTCAACAGAGCAGACTTAGTTATTCTCCTTCTCACTGTAAACATTTTTTTAAAACAAAATAACTTAATTTTAAAAAAGCATGAAGGATAAAAAAAACTAAGACTTAGTAAGAAACTGTGTATTTCTTTTACAGTTAGAAGCTGAAACGTATTGAGGTACTTCTCATAATAGTACCTTCTGTATGCACTCTGTCTTGAGTGATCTCTTTCTTAGATCCATTACATGATCTGCTTTGATTTCTTTTCATGCACACTTTGTCTTTCACCAAGTTCTTCTTGTAGTAGCCCTAGTATCTTGAGCTTGGTTAACTTATATCTTCTAATAAGAAATCTGGTCTTGATCTTGGAATTCTCTGTATTTTTTGGGGAAAAGCTACTCTTAATTCTTTTCTTACTCCAACCTTTGGCTAGTTAGGTTTTTTGTTTGTTTTCAGCTTTTTACTGTGAAATGAGAAAGTCTTTTAGCATCAAGAATTTCTTCAAAAGGCTACTTGTATGTTTTCATCAACATATCTTTGAGCTTTGTAAGAGTTTCAGCGTTTTCTTGTATGTTCAAACTTGTTTTCTTAAATGGGGTTGTATAGTAGTATGTCCTACTCTTATATT